CATTCACTACTGTTAGAACCAGTTGCAGTATTAGTACACTCATCATTATTACCAGTAGCATACTTATCATACACTACAATGCCCAGTATAATTATTAATAATATCAATATGAGACAGAGTAATACTGTCATGAACAGTAGTGGTTTACTCCAAGATGACTGCCTTTGTTTAGGCTTATTATTATCGGTTGGTACAAAGGGCAGTGGAATAGACTGCTGGTTTCTCTCATCTTCTCTTTCGCTGACTTCTGGAAGCTCATACATATTATTTTCTTCAAATTTATGCTGCAGGGATGCATACTCAGCATGAATTTTCTCCATTTCTCCTTGATGTGGCTTGCTCTGCAGCAGCTTATTATATAGAAAAGCATATCCTTTTCTTATAAAGGCATCAAATGTAAAACAAAAACTATTTTTGTTTTGATTGCATAGCTGAAGTTAATCCACAGAAATAAGACAATTACTTGTTTTTAATTGATGCTAGATAGACCTGTACAAAGCTTATATATTATAATTTGTTTTTATTCATAAAGTCTTAATGAAACTTCTATTCAATTGCATAAACATCAATATTGAGGAAAATGAAATGAGGAAAAATATAAGAAAAAACAGAAACTGAAAGTAGTTAAAACGAAAATATAAAAATGGGTAAAATTGTATACTGGTTATGCACTATTATAAATATACATCTTAAATAAGCAAATGGGATTATCATATCACTATGCTACTTATTTCATGAGGACTGTCGTTATCATCAGTTTCCTCATCTCCACAGACTCTCAACTCAATATATAGTCAGTGTTACTGTATTAAGTTTAATACAGTAGCATAATTTAAATAAACGAACAGAATTATCTTCACCATAATAACTTGCCAACATCAGCCAAGACCCTCAACTCAATATAGTCAGTAGTGGTAGTGCTACCATAGTCTCTGTGAAACCATGGGATACCATCAAGATACTTAATTATTTATTACATGCTTAGCTAGCCTTATAACTTGTTTGGTATTTACTTTAGCACAGCATTGACTTAAGATTAATGAAAACTTGCATGTGAGATGGAACAATGTGCCTGATTTTATAAACTACATCAATTTGGCAAGTCGTGTGCTTCATTTTCATAAAGTATTAATTATGTTTAATACATAATCTTCCTTATTGTTGAATGTTGCTATTTAATTTCTAATTGAATTCATATCGTGTTTGGGTGATAGCATGAAGTTTGTATGCATGACATACAAAGGAATACAAGAAAGAGTATTATGAATACCTATACAGCACTGCTAATACTATAACATACTCATTTTATTGTGCATAACCTTTTATAACTTATTTGCTATTTTGAAAAATAATAGCAATTATAATGAATATCCTTCTATTGATGAATTTCAATTTATTGTTATTAGAAAGGAGGAACTACATCAAAGAGGAGATTAATGGGAAGAGAAAATTCGGTGCAATTAAGAGAATAAACAATATGCATGTAATAACTGGACTAGACTATCTAAAGTAGTGCTGCCATTAAATAATTATTTTTAAATAATGTTGCAAAAAATTAGTCACTGTACTGAACTAACAAGTCTACAATACTAAAGCTGTTTTCTACTTTATGTAAATCTCATAAAAGCTAACAGGACTGTCTTCATTACTTGTAGCCTCATCTCCACAGACCCTCAACTCAATATAGTCAGTAGTGGTAGTGCTACCATAGTCTCTGTGAAACCATGGGATACCAGTAACCGAACAGCAAGCTGATTCAAGAGAACCACAACCTTGACCATCCCAGAGTGGATCAGATATGAAAAGTTGATTAGCAGTATTGGTAGGATTACCAGATTCACAGAAATAATTGTAACCAATAAATACTTGATGCTGCTGGCCACAATTGCATGTGTTAATGTTATAAGCATCGCTGAAACCACTCATAAATGTCCAGACATGTTGACGTGGAGACCCACGAGTGATACTAACACCATCAACATAATAAGAATTGATATCACTCCTTACTGGAGCATCAGTTGCTTTATATTGATATCCTGTTACTCTACCACATATCTGAGAATAACTGATACCATTAGATGAGAACTGAACTGATACACAGCTACCACCGTTTGTTGCTGGTCTACCACAAGCTTTAACTCCTCCTGACTGATAAAGGCCAAACCCAGAAGGACAGTTCTGTGTAACATCAGTCATATCCAGATATGCTAGCCTTGTCCATGCTCCTCCTGAACCACACAATGTTCCCATATTACAGTATGTAGAATATGTTCTAGTAGGTCTTGCCAGTATATAATAACCTGATGGACTGTTAGGTTGTCTCTCCTTAATCTCTTTACAAGAGGTAGGTAATGCAGTTGAGTCATTGTGTAGTACTAATAGTTCTTGTGCTATTAGTAGTATATCATCAACCACTCCAGCAGTAGAGGTACTGTTGTCTTGTAGATTAGAGAGAGTATTGACAATGTTAATGAGCTTTTGTGCGGAATCTTTTGTAGTTTGTAAGATTTGTTTATCAATTTCAGTGAAGTTAGTATGGTTCTGAAATAGTTGAAGGGTATTCTGTGATACACCATTAGCCCATTCATTGAAGTCAGGAAGGCTCCCTGTTACATTGCTGTTAACTTTAGAGACAACACCATTAGCCCATTCATTGAAGTCAGGAAGGCTCCCTGTTACATTGCTGTTAACTTTAGAGACAACACCATTAGCCCAATCATTGAAGTCAGGAAGGCTCCCTGTTACATTGCTGTTAACTTTAGAGACAACACCATTAGACCATTCATTAAAGTCAGGAAGGCTCCCTGTTACATTGCTGTTAACTTTAGAGACAACACCATTAGCCCAATCATTGAAGTCAGGAAGGCTCCCTGTTACATTGCTGTTAACTTTAGAGACAACACCGTTAGCCCAATCATTAAAGTCAGGAAGGCTCCCTGTTACATTGCTGTTAACTTTAGAGATAACACCATTAGCCCAATCATTAAAGTCAGGAAGGCTCCCTGTTACATTGTTGTTAACTTTAGAGACAACACCATTAGCCCATTCATTAAAGTCAGGAAGGCTCCCTGTTACATTGCTGTTAACTTTAGAAACAACACCATTAGCCCATTCATTGAAGTCGGGAATTTTCTGGCTAATATTTTGAGCTATATGATCAGCCCATTCATTTGTATTACTACTACTGCTAGCACCAGTTGCAGTATTAGTACACTCAACATTATTACCAGTAGCATACTTATCATACACTACAATGCCCAGTATAATTATTAATAATATCAATATGAGACAGAGTAATACTGTATTGAACAGTAGTGGTTTACTCCAAGATGACTGCCTTTGTTTAGGCTTATTATTATTGGTTGGTACAAAGGGTAGTGGAATAGGCTGCTGGTCCTTCTTATCTTCTCTTTTTCTGAGTTCTGGAAGCTCATACATACTATTTTCTTCAAATTTATGCTGCAGGGATGTATACTCAGCATCATGGCGAATCTGTTCTTGTATTTTCTCCATTTCTCCTTGATGTGGCTTGCTCTGCAGCAGCTTATTATATAGAAAAGCATATGCCTTTCCTTATAAAAGGCATCATGCAAATATGGAACAGAAACTATTTTTTGTTTTGATTGCATGGCAAAATTAATCCACAAAAACAAGACAAATTTGAATTTAATTGATGCTATATAGACCTACATAGAGCTTATACATTATTTGTTTTTATTCATAAAGTCCTAATCAAACTTCTATTTATTTGCATAAACAGGATAATGAAACGAGGAAAAATATAAGGAAAAACAGAGACTAAAAATGGCTAAAACAAAAATATAAAAACGGGTAAATTGTATACTGGTTATGTACTATTATACATATACATCTTAAATAAGCAAATGGCATTATCATATCACTATGCTACCTATTTTACATGTATCTTATGAGGACTGTCTTCATCATCAGTTCCCTCATCTCCATAGACCCTCAACTCAACATATAGTCAGTGTTACTGTATTAAGTTAATACAGTAATATAATTTACATAAACAAACAGAATTATCTTCACCATAATAACTTGCCAACATCAGCACATACTCTCAACTCAATATTGTCAGTAGTGGTATTGCTACCATAGTCTCTGTGAAACCATGGGATACTATCAAGATACTTAATTGTTTATTACACGCTTAGCCAGCCTTATAACTTGCTTGGTATTTATTTTAGCGCGGCATTGACTCAAGATTAATGAAAACTTGTATGTGAAATGGTGGAACAATATAACTGATTTTATAAACTACATCAATTCGGCAATTAAGTCATGTGCATTCACTTTCATTCAGTATTAAATTATGTATAATAGTAATAGTGTACATGTATATATACCTTTCATGTTCCTCGACTTCCTTCTGCTTTGCGTTAAAGTGCTTTGCTTCCACTAAAATTTCAACTTAATCACATTCACTTTTCTTTAAAGCACCACATGTTGTCGTTTAATTACTCACAACACTCAAAAATTAGTCTGGTCAATATGTACCTATGGGTATAAAGATAAATGGGTGTCTATGGTCAAAATTATAAGCTTACAGTAAATTAATAAACAAATTAATAAAAATAATTAATTCTAAATTAATTATTAATACAATTACATGCGCAGATTGGTTATTAAAAATACGAGAATCACCCTACTGCGCATGTTGTCATGGCGCTGGTGTAGCGGCAAAACAAATAACCTGTCATTTCGGCAAGAAGCTTCGTCTCGGCATTGTTTTACACTGACTGTTGAACTGTTTCTCTACTGAAAGTATGCAAGTATTAAAATATTTCTCCTGCTTTTCCTCTGAACAAGATCATGTGGAAGGAAATGTTACCGTAAAGGTACTAATGTACCACAATTTATCACTTTACTCATGATAATTAACTTTTTATCTCTATTCACAGTTGATAGGGAAGACCGAGTCTGCTCCCTTTAGTATTGCTAACCTCTGTGGCTTGAGTGTGAAGGCCAATGGACTCTCAAAGAGGAGAAGGAAAAACAAAGAAAAGTTCCAAATTGAACTGATACAAGAGGAATGCTTGATTGTTAAAGGAAAGGCAAGTCCATTTCATTTTATCATCCCAACTAATGTTACTACTATGTCATTTTCTGTTACAGGATTCAGTTAGAAGCATTCCTATTGAAAAGGTCATTGTCATTCAAGGTGACAGAAGTAATATTTTCATTCTTATTGAAAAGGAGAGTGATGGCTCCTTTCACATGGAAACTTATAGCACTTTAAACAAGAAAAAGGTAAAAAGCAGTTTTATTTCCGATGATTTAACACTGAATAATCTATATTATTCTCAACATATAGATGAATGAAATATGCCAGTTCTTTAAGTCCACCAAATGGGAATTCAACGATTACTCCAATACTGAGATATCATCTACTGATGAATCAAATAAAGTCACCGCACCAAGTCCTGAATGTGTCGCTAAAAATTCTGTCGAGTCTGGCATAAGTTCAAATTCTGATACTACAGTAGTTGATACATCAGATACTACCAGCTTTGCTGATACTACAATCTCCTCTCCTAATGCAAGTACTGATGATATTGCTAAAGCTACAATTGCTGGTAGTAATGTCACATCTTGTGCTCCTCAACTTGCTGTGTCTGCTTCTGGTACAATTCAAGATAAAGATGTCAAAGAAACTTCACTTCCCTCTGAATCAACATATCCCTATCAATCTCCTGTCATGTACAAATTGAATGATGACAATAGCCTAAAGTCCGAGGACTATTTTATCTCTGATACTTCATCATTTCTCAGTTTAATATTAGAAACTGACAATATTTCTACTATCATGAATTCCACCATGAAACAAGATGATGATACATTCAGCAAGGTACATATTCAAATCATGCTTGCACTCAACTATTATAATTCTATTATTATTACAGGTTGATGATGATGATGATTCACTTTGTAGTGTAACAGATTTAAGTGATTGTTCCAGTTCATCCATTGGCTCACTGTTTGATGATATACAATTCGAATTGAATCGCCGAATGAGAAGATATAAATCCGAACCAAATTTGCTGGCAATAAAAGATTGAAATTCTCTAATAACTATTATTTCTAAGTTTTAACATGAAACTCAATTCTCCTAACTGATTCACATTGAATTGATTGCTATTATTATATACTATGTTATATTGTTGATTATTATATACTATGTTATATTTCTTATAATCTTAAGTTTAAATCTTTAATATCTTTCTCAAAGACGAAAGCGAAAAGTTCTACATAACAAAGAAAAAACCATTACAGCATCTATTATCAAATTTTCCTCTTTCCAAAAAAAAGTTCTTTTCACTTACTCATAAAATTCAGCATTAAAGTATAAAATCCTTTCAAACTCTTCATGGCTGATGGACTGATCTCCATCATAATCCACCTCTTCTATAACCTATAATATGTATGATATATTTAATGATAGTACAAAACTATAGACATTAATTTTTACATACGCGTTGAATGACTTCAGATTTTAGGTCACTCTCAATCCCGTAATCAGTAACAAGGTCTAGGAAAGTGCTTAGGTCATCATAATCAATCACATGATCATCATTGAAATCTATGAGGTAAAGAAAAAGAATTAGAAATAGAAAGGAAATAATCATTATCCATACACACTACAAAATTAACAAATACATCAAACTAACATGCAATAGTAATGAAGTATGCATAGAAATCATAACAGTAATGGTTAACAATTAAATATAATTCTCACATCTCACAAATTTCGTGCTTTGTGCACAATACTAACATTCGTGCCTTACTTAATACCATTGGACCCACTATGATATTGTACACGTAGGACTTACCATAAAGTCTGAAAGCCCATCTCACTTTTCTTTCTTTTGGGCACTTGTCATGAAACACAGATACCATGTCAAGGAAATCATCAAAATCCATTAGACCATTTGGCTCCGAACAAAACAACATGCAAATCCTGTATCTGAATGGATTCAGCTATGAGTGAAAATAATGATAGACAGTAATGGTACATACATGGAATTAAATTTAAAATGACTAGGAGAGAATTCTTCATTTTCATAATAATGATGCATATACATGTATTTGTGTAGTGTAAAAAAATTTCAGTTGATTTTGATCAAAATTGGTTGTTATGTGTACAAAGTTTGAGGTGATTCCAACCAAAACTGGATTTTTTATAAATTTTTAAAGATGCTCAAAAATTAGACGAAAAATACTAAGATTATTATGGCTGTGGGAAACCACAGTGCAGTGTACATTATCATCTTATACATGTTATATAGAGGTTATCCTGTACATGCACGAGTTGTTTTGATTACGTAGCTACATGTACAGGTTCCAATTACTGCATACCACAGATAAAGTGTCTATGAATACAGTTGGTTACTTTTAATTCAGCCACGTTGTCAGCTACAGCTGTAAAAGCAATCCGCCCTTTCTTGTTGCTTTGAAAACCACTGAGAGGATCAATGTTCTTGAACTTCTTGTAAGCACTGGAGAGATTAAGAAAGAGAAAATAGAAGAGAAATTATATTAAATTCAAAATTGAGTGTCCTTTATGTGGATATACTGCATGCAATGCTTTTTAAAGATTGTACTGCAGTTTGCAGTATTGTAACACATTGTCTGAATAGAACAATGCTTTATGTCTAAGGATTGAAATTTCTTTAATAATTGTGAATTCACAAAATGTACTGGAGTTTAGAACCTTGCACTAGTCATTAAGCATGGCAAACAAAAGAAATTATACAATACATGAATGATGAGTTACTTGTTGATTTCTGCAGCATTTAAATTAGTCAGTTCCTGCAGAATAAAAATAATAAAGACATAAATGTAATATAAAATATTAAGATATATCACAAGAAAAGTCATACAAATGCACTAAGTACTTCTCTCTCTCTTTTATTTGCAATACTGACATGTATAGCATGTAGCTCTCATGCATTTTAGATTCTTGCATGCACTTTACATTCTTGCATGCATGGACTAACTTGATATAAATCTAGTTCATCTTGAGAAAACACAGACCTTCCTATTCCCATTGCTTCAAAGAAACAGCCTATGGTATATCTCTCACTGTACACTAACAATGATTAACAATTTCCTTATAGGAAACATCACACTTTAGCTTAATAGAAGGAGTGACTGGAATGCAATGATTGCTATGATATTAATACATTCCATTAATATAGCCCTAATTAACACCTTTTAATGGGAGAAACTGACTACATTATAAAGGAACTTAATGAAGACATTGTGACAGTTGAAATTACAGTGCAGGTCAGTAGAGAATGATAACAAGAAATGAAATATAAATCCATATAATCTTTAAAGTCTTTTCAATACTAGTTTCTGGACTTTATCTGAGTTATCTTGTGATTCAGCCAGTATCTGCTCCACTTCTTGTCTTATTTCTGTTACATATTGAGTGTCAGTGACTCCTTTAAGATTGATCAATACATTGCAATAGCCACCAAACACTCCACAATGAAGACTACTGGCACTGACCTAATGCATGTACATTGATTTACATACAAAAAACAATTATAAATACATGTACATGTAGAAATGATTTAAAATGCAGTATTTATATGTCCATAAAAACTACATAATACATGTACATGTATAAATGTATTTTAATAATAATTATACATGTACATGCACGCATTAAAATTATGTATTACTTATTAATACTTATTATAATTAATCTTCATCATGCAGCATGTATATGTACATGTAAATGTAGGTACATTGTAATACCTGTAAATCCGACATTGTTTGTTTATTCCCATGCTCTGCTAATACAAAAAGGTGTGGCCAGCATGAATGAGCTTTCCTCATTAAACCCAATGGAACCTCAATAGCTCTCTTTAGTCCTTCCTGCATTGCTAACGATCTCCTTATAAGGACGTAAGATGAGTGGGTGTAAGATATGTTAAAAGGACGTACTTTGTTGATTCTTCATCATTAGAATGAGGCATTTTAAGAGCATCCTACAATAGGGGAATAGGAGCAGCAGAATAATAATGGACTTACAAATTTACATGTACATACAATGTACATGTATGTAAAATAAAGGTAGCAATAAAAAGTATGTACATGTACATGTATGTATTTATATTAAGTACCATATATGAAGAGAAGGCAGTGCTGTCAGAGTCAATGATTGGTATCAGTTGCTCCATTGCATCATAGAGTGGCAGTATAGTCTCTCTCATTATACCATCAATGCCCTCAAACTCTCTCTTACCATAACTCATCAATCCAACCTACAATAAAAGGAAACGTTATGTATACAGTGATAGATTACATACGTGTACATGTACAGTACATACATGTATTCATATACATGTAGTTGGTAATTTTAGCCAGTTTGTATACTGTATAACTAAGGATATACTGGATTAATACTAATCTTTCTGTATTTTAAATTTCTTTATATCCCTGATACAACTGTATAATTAAACAAGCATAATAAATTATGGTAATTTTAGCCAGTTTAGTACATGTACATGTAATTAAACAAACATATTAGGCCACCCCTTTAATGTTTTATATTCATCTAGTATTACAAGTAAATGCTTTAAAAATTGTATCTATCATGCACAATAATTCCCTATACATCATAATTATTATTAATACCATAGTAGCTAGGGCAGAGCCAATACTAGCAATACAGGCACTGGCTGATCCTCCTCCAGGGGTTGATGCACGTGAACCAATCGATTCAATGAAGTCCCTTACACTTGAACTAACCAAAGGACCATCAGCAGTAGAACCTATACAATACCTAAGAGGAATGCAATAAATAAAATAAACATGTACTAATAGATAATAGAGTAAATCATTGTACATTGTGTACATGCAAGAATAGATACATGTAAATGCATACATGTACACACGTATATGCAAGTACATGCATAAATAGACTATATAAACGACCTACATGTATGTAATAAAAGTTTACATGTACATGTAAATGTGATTCCAGCCATTCCTCAAATCTTTCTTCTCTCTCTCTTACTCTCTTCTTCTCTCCCTCTCTCTCTCCCCCTCTCTCTCTCTCTCCCTCCCTCTCTCTCCCCCTCTCTCTCTCTTCTAACTCTATTATTTTTTCTTTAGGATTGAAGTAAGAGAGTGAGCTAAGTCCAAGCCTCTCTATTACCAGTCTAATCTTCTGCTCTTCTTTATAAATGAACAATGACTCCTTTTGAATGTAGTAATCAGCTGAGAGCATTACTGCCTAAATATTAAAAGTAAATATACATGTAAATGTGCATGTAATAGGTGGAACATGGTTTCAGCTTTCAAGGGTCCAAAATCAGGTCAAAGTCCCTGTACTATAGTACAGGGTCACAGGCCAAATTTTGTCAAAAATGAAAAGTAGAGAATTCTCCATTTTTATAACTTTATCTGATACATATACATGTTCTTATGTTGTGTAGAAAGTTTGAGCTGATTCCAATCAAATTTGGATTGGTTATGAATTTTTAAAGTTGCTCCAAAATCGAGCTAAAGTCCCTGTACTATTATAGTACAGGGTCACGGGCCAAATTTTGTCAAAAATGACAAGTTGAGAATTCTCCATTTTTATAATTTTCCCTGATGCATATACATGTACTTATGTTGCGTAGAAAGTTTGAGCTGATTCCGATCAAAATTAGATTTTTTACAAATTTTTAAAGTCACTCAAAAACCTGGTCAAGTTTAATTGGCACAGCACTTAGTGTGAAACCCTTTATGATCCTCTCCAATTCTATGTATGCCAATGGTCTCACCTCAAGTGGTACTAGTCCAACAATCTCAGAACCAACGACAGCTAGTTTGAGGTCTTTAGCAATCCTCACACACTCTTCATATGCAGCGTGAATGGGTGTGGTCTTATAGTCGGTGAGGTTTATCGAGATCTGAGATAAGCCTTTGTCTTCAAGATCCCAACCAATGGCACGAACACATTTAAACTTACCGGGCTACAACGGAGGGAAAGAGAGAGAGGAAAAAAGGAGAGAGAAGGAGGAAGAGAGATGACAGAACTAATAAAATACATAAAAATAATACATGTACAATGTACATGTACGTATACAAGATGTAGTCATGTACATGTACATATAAATGTACATTCGAGGAAAATGAAAAAAAAATAAATGCAACAAAAATTATTTTAAATATAAAAGTATGTAATACATGTACATGTAGGAGAAGACAGAAAAAATGAAATAATTATTATAAATTATTTAAAATGCTACTTACATGTACATGTACAATATAATATTAAAATATAAAAGTACAAGTGGCTCACATTATCAGGGCCACGCCCTTGCTCCCTTATATCCAAAGCAATGCGGTGAGCTTGTTGTTTAGTACCCAAAAGATTGACATTATAAGCTATAAGCATTGGACGAGCACCTGTGACAGTAGCACCCCAGGATGGGACGAACTGGGCTGGACCATAATCAGGTGTCCATTCTGATTTAATAATCTGGAGAAAGAGGGAGAGAGAGAGAGAGAGAAAAGATATAACAAACAAGGAATATGTACATGTACATGTACATGTGTGTGAATCGTACATTATAAACATGTATAAAATCATGTCACTTTGATGTACTGTAGTATGTCTTGCTAATTATAAATAATTCAATTATGAACATCAAAAAAGCATATACTACATATACTGTACATGTAAATGCATGTACAGGTACATATACATGTATACTGTATATGCAATATTATTAATAAATATATAGTTTACCAGTAAAAAAACATGTACACATTATATACACATGTACAACATGTATACATGTACATGTATATGTACATGTACCTTATCTTTAAGTCCTTCATATTCTCCTGCCCTTATCTGTGGTAATGTCCTCCTGTGGTCACCTCCAGTGCATGAATATTCATACAAATATAAAGGAACGTTCAACTCTTTTGATAAACGTGATCCAAACTCATTAGAACAATTAATACAGTCCTCCATAGTGACGTCACTCACTGGAATAAACGGGCAGACATCCAATGCACCCATTCTGGGGTGATTGCCTTATATGGACAAAAATACATGAATTAATGAATCACTTCATTGCAATTATTCTCAACTACAGGCCACTCTCAATCAAAAGACTGGGGATGATATAAATGTTAAGGAAATATAAGCCAATATAAAGTATAGGAGGACAAAAGAAACTTGTGTACCCATTGAAGATAAGAAATAAAACTATATATATTATATATACATGTAGAAGCCTGGGATTTTATGAGAATATACACATGTACATGCAAGTTGATGTAACCAAATAGCCATCATAAAAGTGCATTTTAATCCTAATTATACTTATAATAATACATGTACACTTGTTCCAGTATATGTAATATGTACATGCATCAATACATAATGTAATATGTACATGTATTTTCCTCTAGACATATCTCTCCCCATGTTATTCTTATACAGTATACAATACCTTTATGTTTCCTCATATCAATGAGCGAATGAGCAACTTTCGCTGCATTAACAGCTCCTTCAACAATACTCACTGGATCACCGACAAATGTATACACAGTCCTATGTAGAGTAAAATTATTTTTTTGTAAAACTTAATTATCATTTTAATTTATTAATTTTTTTCAACCTGTTAGCGGATGCCTCTGGTTCTACAAGTAAAAGAGTACATCCTTCAGTGTCTCTGATTGCAGTTGAAATAGCATCTATCACTTCTTTTCTCTTCCCTTCAGAGAAATTTGGGACACATTCAACCAAGCGTTTCGATCCGGACGCCATTTAATAATTAACGACTATTAAAGCCACGCCCACATTTATTAAGCATTGACCCCGCCTCCTAATAATTAAAATAGGCGTGTCTGTATTAAATTCTCCCCCTCCTTTTCTTTCCCACATACTACAGCCATCATGCCTACATTTGCAGGTACATAACTTGTTTTGTTGTTTTAAATCATACTCTTTTCAGTTAAGGTAAAATGGGGTAAGGTGAAGTATGATGACTTGGAACTCAACACTGATGAGCCTCCAGTGATATTTAAGAGTCAACTATTCTCACTAACAGGTGTGATGTGTCACCTACTCTCACTGGTTCTAATATTGTAGCCTTTATTGAGAATGGATTAATGTGCTTGTAGAAATTTTAGTTAATTTTTATTAAAGTTAATGATACGAATAGTATCTGGAAAGTAAAACGAAGTAGTAGTAAAATGAAAAGGAGGGAATTTTATAATTTTAAATTTTAGTTAATTTTCATCAGAGTTAATAATACAAATTAATTATACATGTATATATACATGTACATGTCAGTATAAATATTATACATGTACATACTGTGAGTTAGCAACTATGTGGAAATTTTGAGTTAATTAATTGCTAAAAATTCAAAGAATACTACAATGTAGAGCTATCCTTTGAGGATCAAATCAATGTACATGAATACATGTGTGTGTATTATTATTATTATTATTATTATTATTATTATTATTATTATTATTATTATTATTATTATGATTAAAACAGTTATCATTGTGTGCAAAATTATTGTTAAGATATGTTAGAAAATAAAATAAAAATTATTATTTATTATTATTACTAATATTGCATGTGTTACAGGTGTACCACTGGAGCGACAGAGACTAATGATTGCTGGTCAATCCATTGGTGATGATACGTGGACTGATCCTGTTATCAAGAAAATAAAACCAGTCAGTTTACTCAGTTATTATTATAAATATTTTTATTAATAATTATTACAAACACATATCATGTGATGCATGTAATTTTTTGTATATAATTAATGAACAATGGAAGCATTTTATGTATCAGTGAGTTGTAAATTGAAGGGAAGAACTTGTATGGGTATATATGACCAAGTATGTATATGGTGCATATAACTTGTACATGTATATCTTATTGCTTTATTATTATTATTATTATCACTATCATCACTATTATTATTATTTATTTATTTATTTATTTATTATTATCATTATTTATTTATTTATTTATTATTATTAATAGAACTGTATGTTCATGTTAATGGGTTCAGCTGATGCCCTACCTACTGCCCCCAAAGAGAAGACAATATTCATTGAAGATATGACTGAAGCTGATGCCGCCAGACTAGTAAGTACATGTACATTAATGCATGCACCACTTATGAATTAAAAAAGTAATACTTCTAATACTTATAAGATACTATTGTACTGTGTACCTCTAGCAATTTAAAAATTTGTATATTCAAGTAAAGTTTTTATACATTTATCATAATTTTTTGAACGTGCAAAAGTAGAGTATAATAATAATAATAAAAGTTTCATTACTTATTCTAATTAATGCTCTATTTATATACACTTTTAGCTTGAGGTTCCATTTGGTCTTCATAATCTTGGAAACACGTGCTACATGAACGCATCATTACAATGTATTAGAGCCATACCTGAACTACGCAGGGAAATATTAGAGTAAGAAGGGAAGGAGGGAGAGAGGGAGAGAGGGAGGGAGGAGAGAGGGAGGGAGAGAGAGGGAGGGAGGGAGTTTAGATGGAACAAAAAAAGATGAAAGGAGAGAGAAAAATTAAAATTACATGTACATGTAATGAGTGAGGAATGGGATAATTACTTTAAGACTATTCACTATGCATGTATCATGAGGCTAATTATTGCTGTGTTATTAGTCATAATTATTATTCTTCACATTATTTATTTTTATATTTTATTTTCATTTTCATCTGTAGTTTCACTGGTCATCATGGACTGGTGGAAGGATTAGACGTTGCTTCACACGAACTAACAGCAAGAATGAATGAACTCTTCGTTTCAATGGAGAAAAGAGAGCCACAGCTTGAGCTGGCCCTATTCCTTCAAGTAATTTATAAGTACATGTACTACATGTACTGTAATGTATGTACATATGTACATACATTATTATTATTATTATTATTATTATTATTATTATTATTATTATTATTATTATTATTTTAGGGTCTTCAAACAGTTGTTCCTCATTTTGCTACTAAAGACGAAAGTTCCGGAGTATTCCAGCAGCAGGACGCTCACGAGTGCTGGCAAAAACTCCTCAGTATACTCAAGATAACTCTCAAGGCAACGGTAAGTGATGGAAGTGGTAGCCATGATTAACCTTGTGGTTTGTTTTAGGATGGCGGAGATGGGAGCTCAATAGATAAATA